GGCGCGCGGCCCGCAGGCTCCGCTCCGCCGCGATCCGGACCGGGATCCCGCGCCCGCCGCGCCCCGCGGAGCCCCGCCCCCTGCGCCGCGCCGCCGCCGGAGGCCGCTTGGAGCTGTGCGAACATGGCCGAAGTCGGCGAGGACAGCGGGGCCCGCGCCCTGCTGGCGCTGCGCTCGGCGCCCTGCAGCCCCGTGCTTTGCGCCGCCGCCGCCGCCGCCTTCCCCGCCGCCGCCGTCCCCGCGCCCGGGCCCGCCGCGCCGTCGCCGCCGCCGCCCGCCCAGCCCCCGCCCCCGCCGCCGCCGCCGCCGGGCTCGATCGCCGGGGGCGCGGGGGGCGCGGCGGGCGAGGCCCTGGTGGCCGCGGCGGCCGCCTCGGTGCGCCGGAGCCCCGGGCCCGCGCTGGCGCGCCTGGAGGGCCGCGAGTTCGAGTTTCTCATGCGGCAGCCCAGCGTCACCATCGGTCGCAACTCGTCGCAGGGCTCGGTGGACCTGAGCATGGGCCTGTCCAGCTTCATCTCGCGACGCCACCTGCAGCTCAGCTTCCAGGAGCCGCACTTCTACCTGCGGTGCCTCGGCAAGAACGGCGTCTTCGTGGACGGGGCCTTCCAGCGTCGCGGCGCGCCTGCCCTGCAGCTGCCCAAACAGTGAGTGCCGCGGCCCCCGCCCGGCCCGGGCCCCGGGTCACCCCCGCCCCCGGCCCCCGCCTGGCCTGGGCCCGAGATCAACCCGACCCCCGGGGACGGCCCCGGGAGCCCCGAGGACCGGACCCCGAGGGTCGCCCTTGCCCCACCCCGAGCTGGACACCAGGGTCGCCCTCCCCCCGCCACCCTGTTTGGACCCGGGTCGGCGCCAAACGCACTCCCGAGGAGAAGGGTTGGCGTCAGGTGGTGTCGCTCCGGGAGGTGCGGGGTCCCCGGGGGCAGCGCCAGTGCCCCCGGAAGGCCCGAGACCCCGGCCATAGGGGCCAGCTGTGAACTTGGGCCGGGAGGGCACGGCCGGAGAGTGGGCTGGGGTCGGGACAGGAAGTGCCCTCTCCTCAGTGGACCTGAGGACGCAGGTCAGGGGTCGCCAGCGCTGGGGGCGTTCACCGCACAGTTGGGGTTCCTGGGCAGGAGGGGAAGAGGCCGGGAGGGGAGGCAGGGCAAGGAGAGGGGGACCCGGCGCGCTTGGGGACAGGCCGCGGATGCCCCACGGTGCTTTAGTAACATCCTCGTGTTCCCGGGCTCTTCCGGTTCCCGGGGCAGCTGCTCTGCCCCAGGAGATCTTGCTTTCCGGAGATCTTTTGATCAGGAGAAAGCCTGTTTGGTTACTCATGCGGTCCTTAGGCACTTTCTTTTTCTGTGTAGTAGTCGCTTCTAACTCTTCAGCAGTGTTTATATTTCTCCAGCATGCTTGTGTTCCAGAGTTGTCTCTGACTAATTACTCTCGCTTTTATAAGCACCCTGGGTCCAGGGGTTTTTTGCCGGGGTGATTGCCTGTTTCTGTAACCATCTCCCCTTTCGAGGGTATTGGCACGTTTGGTTGTAAGTATTGTACTGAATACTTTTCAACATCAACGATGACTCACTGGTGCTCGGGGCGTGGCGGGGGGGGGCGGGGGGCTCGTATACAGACTTTGTTTTCCAAACGTGAAAGGTGTGTGTGTGTTTCTGTGAAATCAGGACTTGGTGAATGACAGAGTTGTTTTATCCCATGGTTGCTGCTACTCTGTTCTGCCTTTTCTTTGACCTACACACTCTCTCCATTTCTGGGCCCTTAAATGCATTCTGGGTCCAGTCCCTCACGGTGAGAAAGTGACAGGTAAACAGCGCCTTCCCCTCCCTGCCTGGTGGCTCTCAGAGGCCCGTTCTGCTCAGGCCTCTTTTTATAATTCAGGTTCTGTAAGGGCGTCCATCCAGCAACCTTGTTTTCAGAGTTGCCTGGCTAGCTGTTGAGTGGGTGCAGCCCTGAAGAGGCCCCAGCTTACCGAGTTTCGAATGCACTAGTCTTTCCTCTAACTCAAGGGTAGGACATTTCAGCCCGAGGAGTCCTCAGATCACGTGCGAGTACCGAGTCCCTTGTTTATGAAACGTGGTTGGTGTTCACGCTGCCTTCCTAGCCCGTGTAGCCAGCAGCCCAGATGTCCCCTGGCCTCTGGCTGGGGCTTTGCCCACGGTGCGCGTCTGGCTGGGTTCAAGTTCAGTGGTGCTCTGAGCAACAGCCGCGCAGGCGGTGATGGAGAATTTACAGGAACAGGACAAACATGCTGGGCGGAGAAACACCATGTGCATGTCCGTGTCTGCGCCCCCCCCCCCCCC